ACTTGGGGAGCACTCACTCCCCGAGGAGAAACGCTAGGGGACACGAAACAAGACATGAATGTCGAGCCCTCCCCGCTCAAGGCCCCCTCCCCGGATGACACAACGAAGTGGCCCCAAATGACAAAGATTAAAGGAAGAATGAAGGTCATTTCAGATTGGGTGCTGGAGTTTTACCTCGCACAGGCAAGGATACAGGTCGTGGAAGCCCTGCCACCAGACTACTGGAAGTCATAGCAGACACGGTGGCCACTTTCCCCCCCATGGTGGAAACAGTGTACGCCTTCCCAGATGTGGGGGACATCGACCGACCCTACATCATAATTCTGGCAAGGGGGTTGGTTGAGAAAGTCATCAAGAACAGTCTATTCAAAATAGATTCGCAAATACACAGCCAAGGAAGGCTACAACAACAGTGGGTTGTAATAATGGATATGGTGCTTGTAGAGGCCTCGGATGACCAAATCTTAAAACTGGACTATGTGGCTCACGCCTCACACCCACCCCCGAAGCATCTGGTGGAAAAGATCCCCGATTAACACCTGCTTGGTTCTCCCCCGTGGGTGGAGGAGGAGGGTCTGGACATACCAGGGGTCTGACAGGCTGATCATCAACTCATTGACCTCTTATCCTCTAGAGAGGATGAAGGAGGCAAGGAAGAGTCTTCAAGGCAGCAAAGGGGGGGCAGGGAAACAACATCCCTAAAAGTCAACTAAAACTGGAAGCAAACACAAATGCAGGAAGGGTGAAAATGGAAGGGAAAATGGGCACAAGGGAAAGAATGAGAGACTGGGTAGACAGAAATGAGCAATGGGACTTATCAAACCTCAATCACAACACCATGTTACTCCTGTCCACCCATGACCCTGCTACTGGCCCCTGTTCAGCCTCGTCAAAGTTGAAGCCTATTACCAAAAACTCCCGACGGGAGTCTCTTTGGCAAGATGAAAAGGACGGTCTGAGGCCAGAGCAAACGATACACTTGGAAGCATATAACATATCATGTCCTGGGGCCAGGTGGTCCCACCTGCTGAGAAACGAGGAAGCAGACCATGACTCAACCTGGATAGGCTTGGTAAGAGTCAGCGTATCGAAAAAGGGAGATGGGCCGCCCTGCGTCTTCCAACGGCCTCCCCGCTAGCTACCCTCCCATTTGACCCGCTGGAATGGGAGTTGACACAGACACCCCCCCAGCTAAACCCCTTAAACACTTGCAGTACACGGTTACACAGGGTTACTTTAGACTGCATAAAACCTATCTAGTTGATGTGGCTCAGTGGTTAGAGCACCGGTCGGAAATGCGCATTGTAGTATGATGTTGCGGGCTCAAAACGCAATTGCAACCTTGTGCATAGACACCGGCAGGGCGTTAGATTGACGCACGACTGGACTGCATGGTACTATTACAGGCACTGCTTACACACCACCCAATGGTTGTTCATGGTGTTGTATGTTGGTTCTGGGTTTCACATGGGTTGCTTGGGGGGGTTGGTCTTGGGTGTTCTGTTGATCTCCCCAGTTTGGCATCTCACAAGTTTGTGTCATTTCCATTACTAGTTCACATGGTGGAGTCTTTCGATTATGTGTTACAAGGTCACGGGTTCGAGCTTGGTTCGAACCTTGGGGGGGGGTCCTTGTCTAGCTTGCCCCGTTCTCTCTTCGATATACACACATGATGTTGCCTATACATCTCGATACATTGATTCACAGAGCACACACAACCTTCGGGCATATACATAGCTTGCGAATTATACACGGGCTGCAATGCCGCTACATACACAAGTTTCCACACATGGTGTTGTCTGTACATCTCGATACATAGATGCACGAGGCATACATAGCCTTAGGTTATACACATAGATTGTGAACTAGGGGCTCTAGTTACTGGGTGGGGTCTAGTATCTGCAGTAGGTTCAAGGAAGGGCCGTCAGAGTTCGTACTGATATTCGGATAAAACTGTCTAGTGGCTATATAAGGCTTAGACCCTAGGGTAAGGGTAGGGGTATAAGTCGCTCAGGCCAGTCTGAGTTCCACCTGGCCTTGGGTAAGCTAGGGGAAGGATGGTAAGACTGCTTCAATGGGTGCTACCCTGTCTGAACATCGGGCCCAGAGTCTCTTGGGGTTTGTAGTAGATTGTCTGGGCTTGGCGTTCGAAGTTCCCGCTCGACAAGGCTCGTCCGATTCCGCTTCCACCAGGGTTGGGCAACCTATCATCCCTGGTGCCTATCACTGTTGTTTAGTCCAAGTTAGCTGGCCATTGGTAGGGTAATGGTCCTGAGTGCTGGTCACACTGAGGTAGGAGAGTGGGATATGGGGTGCGCTAGGAGTATTGATGTGAGGATGGGATGGGAGATGGTCTCATATTCCGGGACACCCACAACCTACTGCTATAGGTGATCAATGTGCACTCAGTGATTGGCCTCTACAACACCATGGACTCAAAAAAAAAAAAAAAAAAAAAAAACCCTGCCCGACACAGACTGACCAAACGACGATGGGAGAAAAACTCAATTCTCCCACCAGAGGACCTGTGTGACTTTAGCTGGTCACAATATACCCATATAATGCCGACCGCACATAGGGCCTGCAGTGACATATCATGTACCGTTGTCTGCCCAACCCCGACTGGCTGGTCACAAGGACATCTTTCCCCCATCTGCCGCTACTGCGATAGAAGTTCCCAGCCAGCCCGGGCGACTCTGGAACATTGCCTGCTGGGCTGTCAGATGGCCTCCCAAATATGGAGGTGGTGGGATGCAGCATGGACCACCCTGTCAGACTCCCAGCTCCTGTGGCAACACAGACTTCTGCTGCTAGGGAAACAAGCGGATATCCCAACAAACTGATCCCCCTATGAAAGGAATCTTTTTCATATCATGAGACTATAGATGCTGATGATTGTCTGGCGAGCCCACTGCTCGTTTGAGCAAAACCAGCACACGTTCGGATTACCGTGGACCAAAGAACGGAACACATTACTTGACAACAAGGGTCATCGAATGATTCCCATTATGGCAAATATAATCCACCCCTCTGAAACTGGGTTTATAAATGGTCGATATATACAAGATAACATTCTTCTAATTCATGAAATGATCAAAGTCTCGCGTCAATCTAAACAAAACGCATATTTTGTTTTCATAGACTTTAAAAAGGCTATGACCATGTTGATTGGCGTTTCCTCGATGCTTGTTTGCAAAAATTTGACTTTGGTCCTAATACGCGTAGATGGGTTAAAATTCTTCATACAAATGCCACAACACGAATTTTGGTTAATGGGTTGCTGTCTCCAAAAGAGGATCCGTTGACCCCTTTCCTTTTCGTAATTGTGATGGAAGCTCTGGGGCCAATCTTAGAGCTAATTACAATATTAAGCGCCTACGTATCTCTGGTATACCTGAAGAGGTGATTCCCATAGCCTCCATTTTTGCGAACGATATGACCATTATGATGGAAGCCTCTGCAACGAATATGGAGGAAATAAAAAATATGCTAGATAAATTTTCTGCAATTTCAGATGTTGTAGTCAACTGGGGAAGTAAAACTCAAGGGTGGTGGATCCATTTTAATGAAGATCGTCCTCCCGAGTTCCCCAGGGTACAATGGTTGCCTTTGGAGGCCCCTCTGAGAGTTTTGGGAGAATCTCTTTCTGCTTCTGGTAAACCTGTCTCTAATGATGAATGAATATTTAAGCCCACTACAGAAAAAATTAATCAATGGAAAAATCAACACACCTCTCTTTTTGGCCGAACACTTGTAGTTAACAATGTGGTGTTGGTCTCAATATGGTACAAATCAACACTTCGGGCAATTGGTAAGCCACGGATTAAGCACGTTCAAAAAAATTGTCGGTCTTCTTTGGAGAGGGGATCATGAACTAGAGAGAGTTATCCCCAGAGTGGCTTGGTCCACCCTGATACAAACTAAATCTAGGGGAGGTTTAAGAATTATGGACCCTAAACTGCAATGTTAAGCCTTGTCCTTACAATGGATGATAGATCTCATTCTAGGTATTGACAAACCTTTACAACCTATGACTCGTGAACAAATAAGAAAACTAGCGCCGAGTACTCCTTCAGGGGTGCACCCCCTCACTTGGGTGGAAAACAGATTCTTAAACATCCCTCGGTCGTGTTCACATTCAAAGCTAGAAGGAGAGAAAGGTGCAGCTCGTGTTGATCTTCTTGTGGACAATTTATGGGTTTCCCTACTGAAAACATGGTGGAAACTGCCCTTACCAAATAAACCTTACCCTAAGCGATTTGAAGAAACATTGAGGCAACCTTTATTCGGAAACAGATGGATAACTGACGCTAAAGGTTGTATTTATAATAGCTCTTCAACCCCCTAGTCTCAGTGGGTGAAAAAAAGGTTAGTACGGGCCAAAGACTTTTGAGACCACGAAACGAGATATTGAGTGTCGACTGATCAACTTAGGAAAACAATTCCATATGCCCATAAACTAGCCCAAAACTTGGATCACATCATTTGTTCCATTCCTCTGACCTGGGTAAGGGAACTAAAAAAAGGAGTAAGATTTTATGAAGAAGATTTTGTAATGATTGCACATGACCCACAATGTTGACAGGTGGGATAAATAGTGAATCTACTAGAATAAGGAGTTTTGGTGGCACTCTTCATAATAACTGCAAATCACTTGCTCCGTTCTTCACAAACTAACCAAGTTAAGTTTTTCCCTTTCAAAGAAATTTTTAGTACTAGAGTGTTTGTTATCTCCGCAACCAAGTCTTTCAACCACAATGCCCAATTTCGGACCTACCTTTGAAACCAGCTGAATGGGTACGGCAAACTGGGAAGAGAACTAAACCACGCACCTTGCAGTCTCTCTCGATTAAGGCAGTATATCGTTTGTTGAGACCAAGAGTGTATGTGTCATCCGTGATAAGGGACCGGTGGGTCAAACATCTGAATATTGATGTGCACAAAATCCAAAATATAAAATTATTTGACAAGCTAAAACAAAGACCAGCCAAGTTCGCCTCGCTACAGTGGCAAATACTTCATAGGTGCTTGCCCACTAATGACTGGCTTATTGGTCACACTAACCTAGAGTAACGAGGCCTGACACTACCATGGTGACACCTTCACTGGCCCTGGCAAATCCCTGAAGTGTCGGACGACGTCCAACCACGGCTCACTCCGAAAGACGTGGAACGCCAGACACTGACTGTGCACAAAACGCAGCCACTTCTTCTTGAACTCCATCTGCCACTTTGAAGTGAATGACTCTGTGATCGTGTTCTGTCTCATCCTCTTCTGTGTTGCCGCCGGTCTGGCCCCCTCCTCTCTCTCCTTCCTCTTTCCCGCAGACGGACCCGCCTCAGCCGTATCCGCACCTGCACGTGTATGAACAAACACGTGCCCCGACGCAAAGTACTGGCCCTGCTGCCCCCCCGGCTCGCCGACAATGCCCTTCCCTCGCTCCCTCCCTGACGACCCCGCCCGTGCAGCCTCCTCGACGTCGTCGTCCACGTCGATCTGCTCCTCCGCGTCCCTCATCTCTCCCTCCCCCCCCTCGTCCCGTCGCGGATCCGTCGCAGGTGCCGCACCGTGACGCTCCTCAAATCGCTGGATCCGCTCTTGAACTTGTCGGACATCTTGTACTCACTGTTGTAGTGGATGTCGACAAGTGCCTCGTCGGTCACTTCCGGACATCCTTGCCCTGGCGGAAATGGCGCGCCGCCACGAACTGGTTGCCCTGGAACTCGTGGCCGCAGAAAACGCACTTCAACATGCGATTGCCGCGGAATCTCTCGCCGAGACTCTGTCCCACGCGGATGTACTTGTACACGCAACACTTCTTCTGCGCCTTCCGATTCTCGTCCTCTCCCCCATCCTCAAACACCCGAGACTGACTTTGCGGCATCTTGCCCGCTCGCCGATGGGTTCACTGAAGCGCTCCGCCCTCGGCCTGTCCCACGATGCTCCAACTCCCGCCGGTGTCCCTCCCCGCACCAGGCCTCGTCGGGCCAAACCCGAGCCAACTCTGTTGTGTCGGCCAGGCACCCCCCACGGCCCCGAAACCCCCACTGCGCCGACAATGCGGCGCGGGCCGCGCACAGGAACCCCCCCCCCCAGCCTCCGTTCAAAATACTTGAACGCGCGTTCAATTTTTAGTTCAGCTGCGCGTCGTCGTCGTCTTCGTCGCCGATCTTCTTCGTTGGGGCCGCCGTCCGCTGCCGCGCTGAGCCGTCGCTGTCCCCGCGTGCCTCCGCCTCCTCGAGTTCGCCGTCTCTCTCTCTCTCTCTCTCTCTCTCTCTCTCTCTCTCTCTCTCTCTCTCTCTCTCTCTCTCTCTCTCT